GATAGATAGATAGATAGATAGATAGATAGATAGATAGATAGATAGATAGATAGATGGATAATAGATAGATAGTTTTTCCTTTCTTTCTGTCTTCCTTTTTTACTTTCTTCATTTCTTCATATATTATTCCCTCTATTTCTGCACAGAACAAGTAAACATCCCAGGATGAACAGGGTACGAAGGGGCCCCCCTAACAATAGGGAACTTCAGCGATTACATCAGGTATGATCTGAGTTTTATCTTGTTGACGTCTGGCGTTATAACTGAACACAGATTTACACATTCACACACATAGCAGCTCTACATTAATTTCTTCTTCAGGTGTCAGGTCTGGAGCAGACACTGACGATCATGGTACAATACGTGCACCCCATTCCTACCTGTTGTCTGTCCTCTTGATCAGCTCGGGTTTTAAAAAAATATATATGTGAGGCGAGCTGACAAAAAGAGTTACTTCTCGCAATCCACAAATGAAGATATTGGCCAAAAATCGAAATTAGGGTCAAAATTGTAGATGTTCTTTTCATGCCATATTCTTTAACTACAACCTGTCTTTTATTATTTCATACACATAACTTGTAAAAACTTCACCTGTAAGCGTGATGTATATATTCTCTTAAGGCCTGAATCCGAGAAGTAATTCATTTTGTCAACACGCTTCACATATTATGTTCATGTAAAATTCCAAGCGAAACGAGTTAGGGCATTCTTCTAGTCTGTGCAAGCTAGAACGAAACTGAATCGCGAACATTTTACATCTGCTCTGGCTTGTTTTACTTTGTAATTGAGTGATTAATGCAACAGCATTTAAAAGAATTCTTCTTTCATTCACCCTCGATGTCCAAGGTCTGCTACCAGCTAAGGAACTTGGCAATGACAGTAGTTGTCAATATGGCCATTTTGCGTACCAGTTTGGGAGGGGTGGGTGAATATGATCGCTTTTAAGGACAAGCGGGCTAACCCAGATTTCCGGGGTTTCCAGAAATCTTTACCCACACCAAAAGTGGGCATTGCCCTACCTATAGGAGAAGTTGGGTTTCATTTGTGTGTATATTTGTTTGGTTATAGAAAAAACTCTCCTTGTCTTTTAAATAAACTGAACAAGGGGCAAAAACTTTACTTTCGATTTTCTCAAAACAGCATTTTTCGGGAAATGTAGTTTCTCTCTTCGCGCCTACAAAAATGGCAGCTTGTCCTGTATGCTTCCCAGTAAGTTGAGATTATTTCAGAA